TCTAGATGTAGCCTCCATGATTATATATCAGACCCTCGAATATAAAATAGAAAAAAGGAAGATGTCACATTCAAAAGCACTGGGTAATACTATGCATTAAGATGGGGGTTAAATTCTTCCCTGAGATGTATTCACATAAGGGAGCTGGAGCTCATTTGTGGTTGTGCTAAGGTAAGAGAACCATGAAGTAGCTCCTGGCCAGCCATAAGAGCCTCTCCAGAAAAAGCAGAGTTAGCGCCACTCAGGAGATGTTGGTGCAGATGGTTTAGCACCACTCAGGAGATGTTGGTGCAGATGGTGCAGAAGGAGGCATGACAGGGTCATTACTCTCCATTGGCCCATAGGGGTCATCGTAGCTGGTCCACAATCCAGGGTAGTCCCCAAGGCTCTTCTAAACTTCACCTCTGGCCAAGCTGCTATCTGGTGACAAGCCAGATTGTCACCACTGTCCTGAACTTTATACAGATCCCGAACCAGGCTTTTCCTGGAATGTTCCCTAATTACTCAGGTGAGCTACTGGGTGGTAGTCAAGGCCTGAGTGCTGCCTGTGGCTCTGGGTTTGAAGCCTGTGATCCCTCATACCCACGCGTATAACTGTCTGACATCCCTGGTCCTGTTCAGGGGTATCTTTTTCCCGATCCATTGTTTGCCTGGATCCTGCATTCTTGGTTGAGAGGATCTAACTCTGGAACAATCTTTCAGAAGAGATCAGATAAATCCTGTTTGTGGGAAATGCTTCAGAAAACGTCCTATTTGGAAAATAAAAAGCCTTTCTCCCATAAAAATTATATTTTATCGCTGATGGTCCTCTGCTTTGGAAGGATACTATCTTGTTGGCTCATATTTCATGTGAAACCAAGTGGAAATGTGTCCAGGCCTCTGTCATTACTATGCTGAAATGTCAGAAGCTTCACCTTTCAGCATGAAGACTCAAGAACAGAGAGAAAAAGCAGTTGGCGGTTCTTTGAAATTGCACAAGTAGCCAAGAAGTCAAATAAGGAAGGAGTTCTGCCATCATGCTGATTTTTAAAACTGTATTTGAGGGACCCACATATTAATGACTTTCTTATTCTAAACATTACATCCTAAATTTTCAAAGGTGAATCTTTATCTATTCAGCCAGATGCAGTAGTATTCATAAGACACATGTAGGGTTAAGTTTTCAAAAGGTGCTAGTGATTTTGGCCACCTTGGTTTTTAGCTACTCGATTTGATCAACCTGAAGGGCCTCAAAGTTCTGGGCATGCTCCCTCTGAAAATCCAGCATTGTTAAAGTGTCGTAACTTTGGCACCCCAAATCACCAGCTACTTTTGAAAACTTAGGTCTGTCTACCTGTCTCTTCTGAATATCAGTGAGCTGAGGGAGGATAAGTGACTGTAAAGACTACTGGTACTCAGATTAATCTATCTTTCTGGACTCTGGGGCTATGTCTACGCTGCAGTTATTTCAGAATAAGCTATTCTGGAATACAGGCAGTCCCCGACTTACGCGGATCCGACTTATGTCGGATCCGCAGTTACGAACACGGACTGTGGGACCTCGTGGTCCCGCCGCCCGTGTACTCCGGGGCGAGAAAAGCTGCTCCGCGTATCCCTGGTCTGCAGACCAGGAAGACGCGGAGCAAAGCCGTGGAGGACTTGGGCGTCCCCACCCCCGTCTCCCTGGTCTGCTGGGGGGAGGTGCAGCTAGTACGCCCCCGCCCCCCCTCCCCCCCCCAGCAGACCAGGCTTTTCTCGCGGACGCCTGTGGTAGAGCAGCTGGGGTGCTGCCGGTTGGTCCCCGCAGCGCTGCTCCTTGGTGCTACTGGACCAACCCGGCAGCACCCCAGCTGCTCTGCCCCCGGCTTCCTGGAATCAGCTGCTGATCAGCTTCAGCAGCAGCTGACTTGGGGACGCTTGGGGTTCTTAAGTTGATTCTCTATGTAAGTCAGAACTGGTGGGCAGGT